TGGCTTCATAGCTCAGTTGGTAGAGCATCGCATCGGTATCGCAGAGGTCATGGGTTCGAATCCCGTTGAAGCCCTGATTTGTTTTTTTCAGGCTTATTCTTTCCAATTGCTTAAATTGGAAAATTTACTGCGATGATCATTCTTCACTTTCATTGTTATTGTGTTCCTACTAACAGTAAATATAGTATTTTCAAAATGAGATATAATTTTACATTATAATAATAATGTTCACTTGACTGGATACATTTTTTTGTTTATTCAGATAATGTTACTCTTCATCTTGATGGAGTTTTGTATTTGAGAGTGGTTGAACCTTTCAAGGTAGGTTTTATAAGTCCCACTTTCACATTAAAAGTAAGTGTTTCTACAGGGTAGGACTGATTGATTTTATAGTAGGGAACTAGAGACCATTTTTCAATGCAAGCCTTGTAAGTTATACTCATTGCTAGTTTGCAAAGGTTAAAGTCCAGATCCCAATACATGTGTCAATCAAAAGTATTTAAAGTACCCACATGTGCAGGAAATGAATAGATGTAACTTACAGTCAGATACCGGAATTATTAATATTAAATACTGTTTCAAGGCTTACATTTCTACCTGTGCAAGTAATATAAATTGCATATCAGATTGTGTACGGAGATTTTTTTCCTTTTTTGACTTCTGTACTAAATAATGCAGCTCCTACAGCAAACAGGTCTCATGTTAAATGTTTGTGGATTACAATGGCTGCAAAATTGAAAATAAGTTTGTCGCTATCTTGGTTTGTTCTGCAATAACACATTAAGACGAAGCAGACTGAAATGACATGTACACCAGAATTCATTCTTCATCAAACTGCATGACTTGCATTTTACACATATTGAAATTATTGAGAATCTGAGATAATCAAATCTCAATCTCAGCTGTCAAATAATAAAATTAATTGAAATATTTGGTTTATGAACTAATTAAACGATTGTATTTTAAATCATAAATTGGGAACTGCAGCTGTGCACTGTACAGAGAAGGAGATATTTGCAGTTGTTATGCAGCATCTTGCAGATTAGCAGTTGAAAGCAAAATTTTAGAACTATTTGGGCCTCCTATTAAGGCTTCATTTCATTCCAAGCCTTCCTTTAAAATTTGCTAGTTTGCAGTTTCACGACCTTTTCACTGAGACTCAAGCTGTACTTAGAAGATTTTGTCAAGTCATGTGTAATAAGAGACCCATGAACTAGTAAGATGTACAGTCGTACATGTCTGCATGTACATGTATAATTATGTACATTATACAGTGTATGTTATATGGCAATATAGGCTTCTTATGGAGTGGAAGACCCAGAGTTTGCCGTTACACAGTTGGCACAGACAACCATGAGGTCTGAGTTAGGTAAGTAATAGCTTTACTTTAATTGAAACGCGAAACAACTACCTTGTTGAACTGATACAGACAGGTTCTTTCCTGGTTGGGGAAGGGGTAGGGTACACATGTACACATGTGCCTTCTGCATGTACAGGTACAGGTACAGTAGAAAAGTCATGTGCACAATACCGCATACATACCATCATATGCATGAACACATTAATTTACGTTGTAAATCTAGATGTTAAAAACATTTCTAGCTCCCAGGATTCCTCTTTTTGTTTTTGGACTTGTAAGGTCAAATTAAATTTATTTTTTTCCTCATTGGTGTTAGACTACCTTCATTTAATGTTTCCTTTGCAGGTAAAATCAGTTTGGATAATGTATTTCAAGAAAGGGAAAGATTGAATCATAACATAGTAGGTGAGGAGGTATTTTAATTTCATTTAAATTTCACAGTGGGTTAGTTTTAAGTTCCTTTGTGAAACACTTACTGTACAAATTATGTATGCAACAAGATTTAAGCTTCTCCTTACTGTCCAAGCTGATTAATTTGTACCTTATACTGTACATGTATGTATGTACATACTGTATGTAGTAGAGCTAATGGTCTCATCTTGTCCTGGTTTCTAATGTCTTCTTTTCTTACCATTGTCAGAGGCCATCAACCACGCTGCAGAAGTATGGGGAATAAGATGTTTGCGATATGAAATTCGTAAGTTTCATTTCTGGCTCGGGGTGATTAATTTAAAAAACAATGGAATCCAAACAAAGTGTTCAATCACAATCTGCATGCTATGTACCACTGTCGAAGCAAAAAGGTTTCTAGTCAGTAGTGTCTGAAGTCAATTTCTGTAGCTCTTAGCTCAGAGAACATAATTTTTCTGAGATCAATTAATAACTACTAAAGCAATCATGCATGTTTAATGTACTATAATCATTAATTAAAGCGAAGCAACTCTACTGTAAGTCTCTCTATCTCTTTTTTTTCCCTTTAATTTCTTTTTTCTTTTTTATTAAGGTGACATTCAACTTCCCAGTTCAGTGGTCGAGGCCATGCAAATGCAGGTACATATGAAATTTATGTTCATTGTTTTCTATACTTTTTCAATGCAGATGTGTGGTCTTGATCTATACATTAACATGAAAATTAATACATGTACTTTAATTGAGGTTTTTTCATGATGATAAATAGTGGTTTAGATTGTTGTAAGTTGCCATTTGTATACTGTCATAGGTAGAAGCTGAAAGAAAGAAACGTGCTGCAGTGTTACAATCTGAAGGTGAGCATAAAAACTGTAGTTTTCCTCAAGGTTAACATCTCATTGTATTAGCATTATCAATCTAACATAACAATGTAGTAAGCATAAACACAGGATTAAAAGGGCTCTGGACATCTCTCAAGGCAACAAAGGTATTGACCAAAGAAACATACCCCCTAAAAATACTAGGTGATTAGTTCCTGTAATAGGTTGTGACTCACTTAATTCCGGTATATTGTAAATGCACGATAAATTGGTAAGGATTTCTTTGCATATATTTTTCATTATTCATTGGTTCCAACACTTTTTTTTTTCAAACTTGTCATCAGATTTTCATAGTGGCACCAATTCACTCACTGCCTGTATGGTTGTACCATGCAAGACAAACAAATTACCCTGTTCTAGACGAACTATACTTCCTTGTTCTAATACACTTATCTAAGCCCCACACGCCTTTTTGACTATGTTATTTCTTGTTCCTGTTGTTTTAGGTCAAAGAGAAGCTGCCATTAATGTTGCAGAAGGAAAGAAACAAAGTCAGATTTTGGCATCAGAAGCCAGAAAAATGGAGCAAATCAATACTGCCACTGGTAATCAACTGCACTTGTCGCCATTAACACATTTGTGAGATGTGCGAGATATGTATTGTTGGTACTTGAAAGGTTTTAGCCTTGTCAAGCCAAAGATGATGGGAAATGAAAATTAAATTACCATTATTCTTCGGTCACAAAAGTTAAAACATAGCAAATCTTTTTTATTAGTGTGTAATTGGGAGATGCAGTGGCCTAAAGGTTGGCGTGCTTGACTTCCCGTTTGAGTCTGGTTTCAAGTCCTGGCCAGGGTCAATGCATTTTTCTTTGGCAAGACACTTTGCTCCAAAGTTCCCCTATCCACCCTGGTATGTTAATGGTGCTGACAAATTTAATACTGAGGGTTACTCAGCAGTGGACTTACATCCCATCCAAGGGGGAATTCAAAATCTCCATGGTCGCTTAGAAACTGAGATGAGCTCCAGCAATCTGAACCACTTAATTGGTTCAAAGCAGACTTGGATTCCGACAAACTCAATATTTAATCTCATTTGAAATTATTGTTACGAAAAAATAAAGTCAAAGTCAGCTTTTTTACATGTAACAGCACACACCCACCATGAAAGTAAGTGCAGCTTCAGTATTCTGTCAAACAGACTGTTCCTTGTCTGGTTTGAAATCCTGTTAAAGCTGCGAGATAAAAGAGTCTGTCGCTATCTTGATGTGCTTATTCATAGCACACTGAGACGAAACAAACTAACACAGAGTAAGATACATGTAAGGTGATCAGAAAAAAGGGATGGTGAACAGAAAAGAAATTCACGTGAACAGTGGAGTGTTATTTCTAATTCTGTGAATGTGTATCTT